GTTTTGAAACACTACTCTGAAATATGAGCAGCCCACATCCTCCACAATTCTCTGTCCCCTGAAAGGAAAAGCTCCAGAGTTCCTGGTCAAGATTTTGTCCATTCGCAAAAGCACTTGCTTGTGACCTCTATGTATGACCAGCAGACATGATGAGCTTATTGCTCCAGCAATACCCTCCGGGAAAGTCTTTTTTCACCTCTAGATCACCCTCTCTACTTGTCGCACATTATCTCCATGCGAGCAGAGTGTACTGCTCTCTGTGCCTTGGTGGCCTTGCCAGCTTCGAGCCTTCCCCACTACTGCTCCCTCCCACAGCCCTGCTCGCTGCCCCTAGGCCGCTTCTTCCCCTGTCCCACATGCCAGCAGTACATTGGACCAGAAGACCCCTGGGGCAGAGCCGCCACTTCGGCTACACTGCCACAAAGGCGCCAGAGCTTCCCAGTTAGACACTTACAGAACTTCAAAATACTGTCATTAAAACGGCCCCTTTTCCACCAAAGAAAAAAACTCGCAAACGGCGGAGTGGCAGGCCATGCTGGCCATGGGTGAACAGCGAGCTCATGAGCTGCTGCCCAAGCGGCGCTGAGCTCAGCTGAGTGACAATGAGTGCAACCAAGTGACACCGAGGGCAGCCGAGGCCAGCCGTGAACAGCTGAGCCCGGCCGAGCGCAGCCAAGCCCAGCCGAGTGGAGTGTGTCGGCAGCAGTGGCGCCTTGCAGGGCCAGTCCAGGCCGGCCCGGGCATTGCTCCGGACTTGTGGTGGCCACTGGCTAGTGAGCAGGATGGTGCTGAATGGCATAGGGGTGGCAGTCCTGGGTGCCTGCGCCCTTCCAGAGTGTAGGGTGCTTCTGCTGGTTTGGGACAGACCACCCAGTGGGAATGCTCATGCCATGAGCTGCTAGGAGAAACTGGAGGGTGATCGGCTCCTGGCAGAGACGTGGGCAGATGCAAACACCTGGAACGGTGATGGGGAACGATCTCTGTGGCGTCCGTGAAGAAAGCTGCCCTGTAGGCATGCTGAGGGTCTCCTGGCCCAGCCAGAGCTGTCTCCATGGGGAAGTGGAGGGGTCCCCAGAATCCTTGATGCAGGGATGGGACAGTGTGTGGTGATCTTTCCCATCAGAGCCCCCATGTCAGACTGCCCTGCTCAGCAGCACAGACGTCCCACCACGGGACCCTGGGTGCATCCCTGGGGCACCAGAGACTGGCTCAGCTGCAGCTGGGGAGCAGGGATGTGGTATGGCAGAACATAGCACAGAGCGCCTTTATCTTGGCTGTCTTGCAAGCAGTGTAAGAAAGAAAATGAAATCCAGACAAAACATATTTTTTTCCAATTTCTGCTCCTTTACCTGCACACCAGAACAATGGCATTTCTTAGCCGCAAGGCAAAAAAAGGCGTTAGTGTAGCCTCAGGAATAGCAACTGCCTAGGCATTAAGTTGAGAGAGCACGTCTGAGGGAGTCTTTAGAGGTTTCCTCCCCCATGGCACAGGTGTATTCTCATTCTCGTGCTGAACTGAAAAGTCCGGGCATGGCAAGTCTGGCCTGCCTTGTGCAGAGACGAACACAAATGTGGGGCTATGATCCTCAGTTCCGGATGTGAAAAACACGTTTCACTGTCCTGGTAAAATTTAAAAGGTATAATAAAAAGACAATAGGAGACAAACATAAAGCAAAGAGTTAAAACGGCCGGGTGCTTGGCATGCTGCTAAGAGCACATTGCTGCTTCGGAAATGCCCCTTTAAATACGTTTTACAATACATCAACCCGTTGCATATTCATAGTCCTTTATGCATAGTCAAACTTTTTCTGGGAGCTGTTTAGCACGGCCACTCCTTGGGTCCGCCTTTTTAGAGCATGCATGTTTCTTGGCTTGTGGTTTTAATCCTCTTCTTATCACCTTTTAATTTTGGTGGTGGTCCCGGCCTTTTGCAGCCGGTGAGTGTTGATAATTGTCTTGTCAGCTGCAGGGTTCCCATCACACGTTCACGGGCTGTTATCTTAACTAAGCGGGTAGTTTAAGCATACTGTCTCAAAAAAACTTATATCTAACTTTTGCTATTAGAAGAGAAAGAGGAAAATAAAACGATATTTGTACAGAAAAGCTATTTCAATATTTTACATACTGCATTTATCCCAATATTTGCAAAAAGCCAACAACATGTCATGTACTTATAACAATAACCCCCTGTCTTTCTTTTTATGCATCATTTGGCTTGAGCAATTTTCCTTGTTTTCTAGCCTCCATTATTTTCTCATTTTTTTCATAAATCATTTTCGCTTCCTTTGAGGGGTTTCTTTGGTTACTTTGTTCCTTTAACACCATGATCTTTTGTGCTGTTCCAGATGTAGCTGATTTTGGGTCTGTAGGCATTGTTACAACTTGCATGCCTTGAACTACACTGGTGATTAGCCAAACAAAACAGGGGATCAAACAAGGAAGAAAGATCAAGCCAGCTGTAGCATATAAAAGGAAGAAGCCTGGCTTCTTCCACCATTCTACTCCTAATACATTATCCCACCAGCTAGTGTTTAGCATTGATTCCCATTTTTGTACTGGTACATGAGCTATTTTTCTGATATCATTGACTATATCCAGTAAAGCATCCCCGTTGTCATCTATCTTCAAACAACAATCTGATATATTAAATTTTCCACACACACCTCCTTCTTCAGCTAACAAATGATCTAAAGCCAGTCTGTTTTGATACACTGCAGCCCTTGTTTGGCTTTGTTGATTTGCTAGTAATTCCATTGCTTGACCAGTTTTGTTTGTTATTATCTCCACCACTGCCTGGAGCCTTATAATGCTATTTAACATGTAAATTGGGGTTTGGTACCCATCTCCCATCTTGTGCCCAGGTGGCTGACCCATATGTTTCAATTATGCATTCAGGAGGCCATTCTTCATCTCCCCATTTTTGGAACCCTCCAATCAATTCCCTTTTGTTTTTCTATAAGTCCTCATAAACTGGTATTCCCAATTTCTCTCCCTTTGGTCCTGGTAAAAGAAAAAATCCTGGCTGTATAATTCCCAGAGTACAACTCCCTTTTCGCTGGGAAGGGGGTTCAGGGTATGATCTTTTTCCACATATCCAAAATAAGCCATCAGCTGCTCTCCAATAATTATTTTTCTGTTGATTTATATTTTCCCAGAATTTGGATATTCCTAGGATTCCTTAGTAAGGATTCTTGACTGTATCATTACATTGAAAAAGTCAAATTTTGTTATTATATTTACAATTTTCCCTTTTTGTTTTGCCTTGAGCCCAATACTGGTTGGTTCCTCGGGGATCCACCACGTCTGTGTTACATTACTTACTTTATATCTCTTACAAGGAGTATTTCCTACTTCCTTATGAAAATTTTTCCCAGTGCGCCAGAGACATTCTTCCCCTATCACTGTTGAACTTAAAATCCACTCTTCTGGTCGCCTTCCCCCTTGGTATTTGTCTGGTTTCACTTAAGGAGTTCAATTGGACCTAAGCTACTGCCTTTCCATGGCCATTCTTCTGACATCAGAGCCCCCTCACAGACCCAACAGTTGGTTACATTAAGCTCCTTACTTATTCTTTCTCCTAGGTCTACAAATTGGTTCTTTTCCAGTCTCAAAATACCCATCTCTCTCTTTCCAGTTGCTTTTCAAGTCTTGCATACAAATTTTGAAGTGCAATTGGCACAATTTTAGGCTGTGGTGCTATTTTTCCTTTTATATTTACTAATTGTTCTTTTACCAAATCTTGGGCCTTACTGTCAGTGATATATGTGAAACAAATCCATTTTTCTCCTTTTGGACATTCACTTCCCAACTGGTTATCACTTATTCCGAGTTTTTTTGCAATCCAATATTTTTTGCCATTTTGTTCACAAGTACTTAGTTTGGATGGGTTATAATAGTGGCTGTTGACATGGGTATGTGTAATAAGGAAAGAACCTTGGTGTCTTTCCATGTACAGCTTCTGGTAGCATCTGTAACATGGTCTTGCTGACCTCCCGACAGGGAAAAAGCAAAAGTTGAGTGACAGAAAAAAGAATATCAGAGGTCCAGTATGGCTTATACCTCCACCTCCCATGCCTATGGGGTTGCAGCCCACAGCAGGTGTTATGATCCTCTCAGTGGCAGATATAGAGGCCAATCCAGTCTTGCCCTCTATTTCCTTGTCACTTACTGTTTTTGACACTCCTTAGCTGTAGATTCCTACCGTTTCCTCAGCTCAGGTATTCCCCAGTCAACAGGCATTAGTAACTCCCATCCACGAAATAGTTATTATTTCAGTGTGTTGGGGGTTGGATTGTTCCCCTTTTCTTTCTGTGGAATTCCTCCCATTGTTATGCTAAGTAATTGTGGCTACACCTTGAAACGACAGATAATGTTCTCTCGTAGGGGGGTGGGTGGAGGGCGAGGTGGGGGGGGAACCAGAAAAGGAAAGGTGGGATGGGGGGTCTGGAGCGGGGCTCTCACTCTCTCTTGGCTTGTGGAGTGGGAAGACAGCCTGGGCTCCACTCTGGCATCTCCCCCTGCCATCCCAGCACTGAGATCCACGCTCCCTGCCTTTGGACATCGCTCTGCTGCTCTCCCATCTCACCCTACTATCTCCGGACACTCTGCTGAGCACCACGACCGACACCGTGAGGGGGAGTCACTTTCCCCATCCCCGCTCACCCCTGGGCCGCGGCCGCCATCACTCCAGCCCTCTTCAACTGCGCGGGACCTGCCCTGCCCCCACAGCACCGGTAACTGAGTGCAGGGAGACGGCCTGCGGCCAGAAGGGACTGGAGCGGAGCTAGACTGTTCTGTTCTGTTGCCAATTTTTATACCTGTTGTTGTTTTCTGCTTTGTTAGATACCAGTAAAGAACTGTTATTCTTATCCCCATATCTCCTGCCTGAAGGCGTCTGATTTGGACCTAAAATAGTTAAAAGGGAGGGGGGTTGCACTCTGCACTGCAGAAAAGGGGGTCCTGCCTTTCCTTAGACCATACCTGTCTTTCAAACCAAGACACAGTGGTTCTTAGTTTTTATCTGGATAGGGAGAAAATTTTGTATCCAGAACTTCCTATAATGAGAATGTTGATTGTATGTATTACAACATCAGTTTTTCTACAATTTAGATCTTTACACTTAATCTAGTGAGTATGTCCAGTGTTTAGGACGAGTCAGACACAATATACTGTATGGCATTGATGGAAGTTGTCATTTGGGTCCTTCCAGTTTGTTACCAACTGGTCCTCGCTTAAGAGTCAATCTAGTGTCACTAGGTTCAGATGCTATAGTCCACTCCTTAGGTTTCTCCACAGGTCCTTTGATTCTGCTGGCATGGATCCGCCCGTGTTCCCTGGTCTGGATAGCAGCTTCAGTTGTCAGCAGTACCTGAAAAGGACCTTCCCACTTTGGGGTTAAAGATTGTTCTTTCGATGTTTTCACCAGGACCCATTCCCCTGGCTGGATATTGTGGATTTTAAAATCTAGAGCTGTGGTTTGAGGGATTATCCCTTTTGACCGCAAGTTTTCAAGGGTTGTTTTTCTCATTACCTTTTTATTTACCTTTTGACAAATTATACATCTTTCAGTTATTTGTTTTGCTAATCCAAAAATCCCAATACACCCGTAATTCCTTAGGAAGTGATCACACAGAGCTTGAGCACCCCAATGAGTCTTTTGATGCATATCTTCTAATATTTTTCTAGTAAGTGCCTTATTAAGTAATTGCCTGCTATCAGGAAGTGTCCATTTCCCATCTGACTTTCCCCCTATCCTACTAATTCCTTTTCTTCTGCTTCACTGAATTTTGGTATTTCTAATTCTTCCCTTTTTGGGGTCAAAATTAGCATAACTTTCTCGACCCCATTTTCTGCTACATCTTTAGCTTCTTGATCTGCAAAGTTATTTCCCTTTATTTATGAAGTCATTCCCTTTTGATGTCCCTTGATATGTACCACAGCTATTTCCTTAGACAATTTTAATGCCTCTAAAATTTCCAAAATGAAGCCCTCATATATTAATCCCTTTCCTTTTGAATTGAGTAACCCCCTTTCTTCCCAAATTTTTTCTGAAAGTGTGTACTACTCCAAAAGCATATCTTGAGTCAGTATATACGGTTCCTTTTTTATGTTTTAAATATTCCAATGCTCTTTTTAGAGCATATAATTCACAGGTTTGAGATGACCAATTGGAAGGTAGTTTTCCTTTTTCCATAGTTTGCATATTTTTCCCATCAATTAAAGCATATCCTGACATTCTTTTTCCTTGTATGCATTTGGAGGAACCATCATCATATATTCTTTCCCCTTCCAAGAGGGCCTGTTCTGCCAGATCTTCTCGAATCTTTGTTTGGTATTGGATAATTTCTAAACAATTACGTGCCAAATCATTTTTTTGGTTCTCCCTATAAAAATTGGGCTGGGTTTAAACTTTTATCTCTAGTGTTAAATCATCACTGTCTATTAAAATTGCTTCATATTTTAACATTCTAGAATCTGTTAACCATTTTTCAGCTTTCTGATTTAACACATTTCGGACTGCATGGGGTGTACACACAATCAGTTTACTTCCAAAAGTAAGCTTATGGCTTTCATCTACCAGAATAGCAGTAGCTGCTATAGCTTGGATACATACCAGCCAGCCATGGCTTGCTGGATCCAACATTTTTGATAAGTAGGCAACTGGTCTTTTCATTCCTCCCCATTCATGAGTCAGAACTCCATGAGCTACCCCATTTTCCACATTCACATACAGATGAAAGGGTTTTTCCAATGAGAGTAAGCTTAAAGCTGGTACTGAGGCTAATTTTAACTTCAATTCTTCTAATTTACCATCATCCTCTTTAGTCTACTTTACATTATCTCCCTCGGTCAATTTTTTTCATACAAAAACTTTACTGCCTGTGTGTACCCTTCAATCCATATTCTACAATAGCCTAATAATGAAAGTAGCTTTCTAATTTCCCTTTTTGAAGAGGGAGGAGGAAGAGATAAAATGCCTGCAATCCTTTCGGGGTTTAGCTTTCGGGTACCCCTGCTTATTAAATGCCCAAGATACTTTACTTCTGATTCCAGAAATTGTAGTTTTCCCATTGTACTCTTAATCCCTTTTCCCTGAGAAAATTCAAAAGTTTTATAGTAGCCTCCCTAACTTTAACTTCAGCTTCCCCAGGTAATAAAAGATCATCCACATCTTGGATAATTTGTATTCCAGGAGGAGTGGGGAAGGTTTGTAATATTGTTTCTAAAGCTTGTCCAAATAAGTTTGGAGATTCTGTAAAACCCTCTGGTAATTTTGTCCACCTTAGTTGCTGCTTTCTGCCAGTTTTTGGATCTTCCTATTCAAAGGCAAAAATATGCCGGCTTTCTTCTGCTAATGGGCACGCCCAGAAAGCATCTTTGAGGTCCACCACACTAAACCACTGATGCTGGGGTGGCACTTTACTCAGAAGGGCATAACGGTTGGGTACCACAGGAAAACGGGTCCGAGTTCTCTTGTTAACCTCCCGTAAATCTTGTACTAATCTCTATTTCCCATCAGGCTTTTTTATTGCAGAATAGAGGTATTATGAGGAGACATACAAGGTTCCAATGTCTCATCCTTTATTAGTCCCTCTATTACCGACTTTAAGCCTTCTCGCCCTTCTAAGGATATAGAGTACTAACGTACACATAAGGGAAATTCTTCTCTCTCAGTTGTGACCCTTACGGGGTCAATATCTAGCCCCTCCCTATTTCCTTCCCCAGCCCACACTTCTTTATTTATTTTATACTCATCTTCTTGGCTAAATTTTAAAATTCTAGCTGTCATTCTCCCCTCTTCTGGTATCACCTTTATTCCTAGCTTTACCTGTAAATCCTTCCCTAATAAATTGCTGCCTGCCCCAGGGACCAATAAGACATCTCCCAGCCAAATTTTTGTTTCTCCCTCAATTATTACATCTTTAATGATAGGCACTGTGAAATCTTCTGCCCCTGTTACTTGTGCAGTGTCTTTGCTTATATTGCAGCCTTTTGGGGGTTCTAATAGGCAGGTTCTTTCTGCCCCTGTGTCAACCACAAGCTCTAATTCCTCCCCCTGGGGACCCACTTTTAACGTTATCACAGGCTCTAGATGGTATTCGTCCCCCAGGAAATAGGGCCTATGACTCCCTGACTCCTCATTTTGATTCCAATTAGGAGGTGCTATTGGCATTTTCTGGTCCCCCGGTGGTCCTTGCTGGTTTTCCCTTTCCCAAAACTTTATTCCAGCATTTCTAATCATTTGTCTCTCCTCTTGGGAAAATATTATTTTCATTATTGATTGCATCTTTTCCCAAGTAAAAATATTTGGGCCTAAAAACTGGTCTAATTGTTCAGCTGTATCTATGAGATCTTCTAATAATCCTTTACTTTCCCTTTTAATTTCTCTAACTTCTGAAGAAGTTAAAAGGGAGCTAACAAACCCTGTTCCCCCTCCTCCTACAGGAACTTCTCGTAAAGGGAATAAATGAATCTTTTCTCCCCAGTCCTTTTGCATACTGTCCCTCTTTTTTAGTTTCGGGGAAGTATCAGAGGAAGTCTGATGTATTTTGGTACGGCGCTTCCCCTTTAAGAGAAGAGGAGCCTCGCACAGCCGAGGCCACCGTGGCTGAGGGAACGGAGACAGAGGCGGGCGCCCCCTCAGAGCCGGAGTCCTTCGGGGATGCGGCGGGGGTGTGGGCGGGGACTGTTACCGGAACCTCCGGCAGGGCAGAGCCTTCCGGCGGAAACCAAACTAGGGCACGGACAGCCACATGGTTCATGGCGGCCGGAGCGGCGGTGTCTGCCGCCAGCGCGGACAACGTAGCTGGGCCGAGGATGGCCGGGAACGGGGCAGCCGGGGCGGCTGTGGGATAGGCAGGCGGGAGTGGAGTCGCTGGCGCTGCTAGCGTGGCGGCTGGGGCGGGGGCCGTTTCGGGAGGAGCGGCCGGCGCTGGCGGGGGTCCCAGCACGGCCGGCGGGATTCCCGCGGACAGCGCCGCCGGGGCCGGGGCGAGCGGGAATTCCAGGGTTGGAGCGAGGGGGAACTCCGCGGCCGGGGCGAGCGGCGCAGTCCTGAACGGTGCAGGAGCAAGCGGGAACGGAGGGGGCAACATATCTAGAGGGTCCCAGTCTCTTTCTTTTTCTTCTCTTTCTCTTGGATTTCTGATATTTTATAAACTTTTACTCCCAGTGTCTCTTTTTCTCTTAATCCAGCATGCATCATATTCTCCTTCTTCCGGTTTACCCAGTTCTTTTGAATTTACAAGTATGTTTAAAGCCTGGCAAATCCAGGCTTCTAAAGAGCCATATCTGGGCCAATAAACATAGCCAGATCTTATTTCTGTTTTTGCCCATTCTATCATACAAAACTGAATCATCTTTACTTTTTCCTTTTGTTTTTGTAGAAGGGTCAGTATCCCAGTTAGCTAACATAACTCCCAGAGGCCCATCTTCAGGTATCTCTGCTGACACCGTTTTACCCCCTTTTTCTCCTGAGCCTGTTTTACTATTTTTTGTCCCATTTCTCAGGATTTTATCTATTCACACCTGGCCTATTTCTCACTTCCCCAACACTGGAATATTACTCCTCTCTCTCCACCAACAGTGTATTTCACCTCACTTCAGAGAATAAAGTTAAGATTAATAATCTATCCTACATACGCTTTCATTCATTCACACTCATTTTTATTTCTTTATTTCCTCTTTCTCACTCTCCCCTCACTCACAACAAGACACAGACACAGAAATAAAGTACCTCTGTGGACACACATTTAGAGAGCTAGGAAATTACAGCTTGGCCTTTTTTCCCCAAAAGAGGTCCGTGTGTGTTGCTGTCTTTTCTCTCTCTTTGCAGCGCAGTAACCACATACTTTTTAAATCAGTTATTAATATTTACCCATGGGTATAAAACCTCTAAAGCCCAGATTTCTTGGGGTCCTCAACCTGGCAGCTTTTTAAAGCCCAGATGCTCTTGGATTTCCCCTCAACTTGGCAGCATTTTTTTTTGTGGGGCCCTCACTTTTCCTGTTTCCCAGTGGATTGTGCCAGGAAACCCTCGACTCCCTCCGGGGGATCCTTAACCCCTCACCTGGGACCCAGCCCCGATTACCCACGGGGGGGATTCTTTTACTCTTTTTCTCGCTTCGTCTCCTGGCTGACTGAATGTCTCGCGACGCTTCATAACTGCAGCTCTTGGAAAGTCCACACTCGCTTTGCAGGTCTGGGGTAACCAGCCCACGTCTCAGACACACACCACTCGTCCCCCCACGTATCCGCCCCCCCGAACAGTACTTACGATCCTTTTTCTTGTCCGGGTCTTTGTGCACAAAAATTCAGAGGCTAATGCTGCCGTCTTAGGGAGCGCTTTTTCTTCTCCTTAATTTGTATCTTTTACTTTACCCTCTCCTTGTCCTCAGGGTTGTCCGACCTGCAAACCCCAATCCACACCAGGGGAAGCAGAGTGAGGCTGCTGAAATCAGGCGGGGGGTGCCCCACCGCTCTGGGAACCCTGAGGTCTTGGAGGCGAGGTATTCATCCCGGAGGAGCCCCCAGTTGTGAAAAACACGTTTCACTGTCCTGGTAAAATTTAAAAGGTATAATAAAAAGACTGTAGGAGACAAACATAAAGCAAAGAGTTAAAACGGCCGGTGCTTGGCATGCTGCTAAGAGCACATTGCTGCTTCGGAAATGCCCCTATAAATACGTTTTACAATACATCAACCCGTTGCATATTCATAGTCCTTTATGCATAGTCAAACTTTTTCTGGGAGCCGTTTAGCACGGCCACTCCTTGGGTTCGCCTTTTTAGAGCATGCATGTTTCTCGGCTTGTGGTTTTAATCCTCTTCTTATCACCTTTTAATTTGGGTGGTGGTCCCGGCCTTTTGCAGCCGGTGAGAGTTGATAATTGTCTTGTCAGCTGCAGGGTTCCCATCACACGTTCACGGGCTGTTATCTTAACTAAGCGGGTAGTTTAAGCATACTGTCTCAAAAA